GTTACTTGTTGGCTCCACCGATAACCTCATAACACAAACACTCACCAAGTGCGTGCGGCGTGTTCCGTGAAAACTGGAGGAGAGGCCGTTTTGCCACGTCTTTATACCCTCTCAGAGTGCGACAGGGGCTGGCAGCTAAACACCAGTCGCCAAGGGGTCGGTCAATCAGACGTCACGGGTCATTTAGGTCAGTCAGTCAGATGTCACTTCCTAAAGGCCACAAACGTCACTCGCAGACAGCGGTCGCGCGCACTCGGCTAAACTGGCGATCGACGCACCAACGACGCTTTGTGGTGTGTGTGTGACAATTTCTATGGGAGAGGTGCACATGTTTACACATATACACTCATGTCCTCGTTACACTATGCGTCACAAGAGAATGCGTTAACGTATTTTCCCATGCTAGTTTCATGCTTCTCAGTTCTCATGCTTCAACTGGTAGCCTAGACTGGATTTAACCCGCGCCCTGCTGGGGGGGTGTTTGAACACACACCCCCCTTTGTGGTTTTTCGCGAATATCTCAAAAACGGCGGCGCGGAGCGCCGCCGTTTTTGGTACACCTTATCATACATCAATTCTACACATGTTCTGAAAATTTCAGACCAAGATCATTCAAGGTCAGGTCACCAGGTCACTTGAAGTGACCTCACCTCATAAAAAGTTTCAATGTCTGTCATAGCTACACCGAGTGACCGATCGCTTTGAAACTTTCAGCGATTGCTAAGAGCAATAGCATGTACAAAATGTATATCTCAGAATTTTGATATCGATGACCTAAGGTCAGGTCAATTTTGCGACCTCCCCATTATAAGTCAATGGGAGAAAATTGAAATGCGCCTCTTTTGGACGAAAGACATTATAAACACTCCCAAACACTGATTTACAAGTGGTTTAGACACACTGAACATGAAAATGGTGTCCGTGACCCCTGTTTATGCCCTGAGGTCATCTTAGGTCACGAATGGTATCTAACAGTTTTTCGCAAATAACTTTTGATAGAGGCATGCTAGAGCGATGAAAACGCCTTAGATGTGTTCAGCTCGACGATACGGATCGACTGATATGCAACATGACCCTTTCCGGTCAGGTCATGACCTTGACCTGAGGTCAAATTTTCAAGTTGACCTTTCAAGGTCAAGTTATAGTTCATTCGATGCGTCTTGACGAGAGAAACACGATGCCGGTAAAAGTAAGCTCGCACAAGGCTTGGGTCAAACGTTATTGCAGAAAAACTGTTTCCGAAAAAATCGGCTATTTTTGCAGTTTTTGCCCCGTGCAGGCAAAACCGTTGACGTTAGGTCAAATCTGAGAGAATTACTCAGAAAGGGCGTTAATAGGGCTATCGAATGCGTTTTTCCGCGGCGCTGTAGCTCTATTGGTTCCCGAGTTATGCGTTGGCTTCTTGGAAATTGTCGACATTCGACCTGGAAATCGGCGAAATTTTGCCTTCAATGACCTCTGGTGACCTGAACTTTGACCTGACCAAAAAATTGACCGAAGTGATTTCCTCATTATTTTTGACATTCTTTCGAACGCCGCCTTCCGCGTATCGCTACGTGGCCCAGGAGCCGAGTTAGAAGGGGGGGGGGTCAAACACCCCCCCCCCCCCCCAGCAGGGCGTGGAAATCCAGGACCCCCAGCCGGGCGCGGGTTAAAGTCTAAGAGCAATCGATGACCACTATGGTCAGGTCAAATAGCCGAGTGTATGACTCCGGTTTGGAAAATAACTTCATAAAAATGGTAATGGAACGGTAATTTTAACATCGTGCTTATCCTCTCACGTTATGCTCAGCCATCTTGAATGCTATACTAACTTGTCCATGCGAAAGGTTATGACTTCAGGTAAAAGTCAGGTCATAGCCGCTCAGGTCATGAGGCTGGCGACAGATTACCGTTAATCATCGTAGGTCAGTTACCTGACCTAACCTGGAAATGTGGTTAGGGTCACTGTGTCACAAGAGTCAGCTTGAATATACATAGGTGAGGTATGTCAACTTTGAGCTCTTTATTCTTAACACGTTCCAAGCAATCGCGAGAACACCGTCACGAGGTGACAACTGACACCTCTCGGCTGGGAGGGTGTCAGATTCGATCTCGAATGACTAATGCTTTGTAGGGTGCATCCCCCTCCCCGTAAAGACCAAAACCACCTTTTCTGGATCCACCGCTATCGATCGGCCTTTTCTTTTGACCGGCACGGGCTCCGCCGCGGTCTCAGGAAGTGGGGGGGGGGGGGGCAACCCAGAAATGCACACCCTCCTACCTTTGGCTGCATTACGGAAGTGAAATTATTGGGGGTTCGGACCCCCACGACCCTCTCGATGGCGGAGCCCTGCTTAGGACAGGTCCGCACTCCGCACTTCGCACTCCGCAGAGGCGGCGGTCGAGCGACGCCTGGTGGCAACTCTCGCAAACAACCCGTAGATGGCAGGACCTTATTCGTACCATGGTGGCAGCACCTCACTGACATTTGCGTTGCAAATAAGGGCTGAAAGGGTCAGCGGAAGGGACTTTCAGTTTCAGATTTCAAAAATGTTTGATTATCTGTATTCTGTAACAGCGTGTAATTTGTGATCACAATATGATCACAAGGACATCACTTATAACGTGATACAAAAGGCAGTAGTCTCAGAGACAAGGTCACTGCTTGAAATGCGAAAAAAGTTTCCTTTTGTTTTGTTTGAATCTTAACTCAGTTGTGGAACTTGTTCAAACAAGGTTGTGAAATAGCTGCTATGAGATAGTGATTTTGATGATACAACTGATAACTAAACGAAAAGCATCCCTGCCGGGATTCGAACCCGGGACCTTTGGATTAGAAGTCCAACGCGCTATCCACTGCGCTACAGGGACAGCCGTCGACATGGGTCCTAATTGTTTCTTATAAACGATAATGTATCTGCGTACATTGGTTATTCTCGACGTATTGCTCGTATTGAATTGTAAATAGGCATCATCAGTTTACAAAAAAAAAAAAAAATGGTCAACCATCATCACCCGTCCTTGTCTGCCTCATGACAGACCCATCTGCATCCTTACCCACATAACCCTTTCTGGGATGGCAATGGGTTGTGACGGCAAGTCCTACGATGGATTTTGGACTGCACCCTCTCCGGGGTGACCGTTTGATTGGCAGCGCGAGTTGTCCTGTCAGTTACCGTCATCACCGGGACGGTCTCTGCCGCTGCGGCGCACCGTCGGTGGTCCGCAGTACTTTATGTTCGCCCCGAATGCTTACGCCCTTACTGGCTACTCTACACATTATCTCGTAGTTCTGCAATGACCCTTTCAGGTGAGGTCATTGCATTTCCCTTTAAAGTTTTAATCCGTGACCGGGTGGGCCTCTCAGCCAGCTTCGCCATGGTAGGGGAGGGGTGCCTTTTTGGCCACACCTGATTATCTCGGAACTGTAGGTAAGCAAGCTAGAAAGATGCGTTAAAAAGCAGTATAGATAGTTCGCTTTGAGACCTTTCATAATTATACCAGTCATTTTTGGTCAGGTGGCTGAGGTCACTGGAGGTCACCAAAGGTATAATTTTCGCAAACAAAAACCTGGCAGGTGGGGCCAAAAACGTCCCCACCCCCAGCCGGGCGATTAAGGTCACGGTAATCTCACGACCCGTGTCATTGCCGACCCCTGATTATTCCTAAAAATTAACTTTACTGAGCCTATCTCTTAATTGTAACGGTAATCAAACTATTATCGAGAATTGTTTATGGACAGAACATTGTTCAGGCAAATCTTATTTATCTCGATACCGGCAGTGCCATCACAGAACAGGTAAAACTGCAAAAGACATGGTAGGTATTTTAACGTTTTGCAATGCCATGCTAACACATATTCATGTGAGCGATGTGAACTATGAAAAGGTTTAGTCATGTTTTTAATGCGGTTGCTTTATTTCTATCGCTGTATTTTTAAACTAATGAGGTAAAAATAACTCGTAACTCGTGATGTACATAGTTCCCAGGTCAAGTTACAAAGGTCAGTCAGGTCACAAAATTCACACGGCTCTGAAGCATAGGTACGACTATTGCGTGCTTCAAACGATGCAATCAACTTTGCACTACAAGTTCATTGACGATGGTTGTTTTGAATGCAACGTCAATTAGGGCTTCTGTCAGGCCAATGGTCGTAATTCAAATATTATTGTATTCGCATTAAAAGTTACATTTAACCCATACCGCTTTTGGCACAATTCTTCCCGCAGATTCTTGGCCATCTGCTGACCATTATTAGAGGTCTGAAATAGCAGAACGAGGCGCGGTCACTCTTATCTTACTGTTCTGCCTCTGCACCTCAGCGGTCAAGACAAGGGTATAGCTGTGGAAATATCCTTTACATGTAAAGGATATTTCCACATGCTAACTACAGTAAACATATGTAAGACTGATGCGAGAGAGGGCATTAGGAGTCTTTGGCTGCATCAGGGATGCTAGGCCTGCAAATATTTTCAAGAGAATGAGGCGTGGATGGTTCCTTCATATGCATATCAAACATTTTTCATTAATTAACTAAATGTCGAATATCGATAAAATGAAAGACTTCAAAAATTGGCAACAACCCCTGTTAAATTGCGAGATCGAGAATAGCAGGTGAACGTGTAAAAATGTGGAAGCCGAAAGTGTGACATCATCGCCGCTTATCTCAGACGCATCTAATCTTAAACGCTGTCATCCTCTCAATCATTAGGCCCCCGTTGCCCGCGCCACTATCACCAATTGTGTTCGCCTCAGTTGGCTGTCAGCGGCCGAAGCCACTCGCGTCGGCTCGTTTGTTGGGTTGGACAGCCCCCCAAAAACGCAAAACCGATGGAGTGATAACGACGAGGTATGGTCGGGATTAAGGATATGCAGGTTTGACAAATCTCGAAGTCGCATCTATTAAAAAGGTGAAGGTGGGTGGGAAACTTCTCGCCCACTCTCCGCTTCACTCCGCTATGAGTTGATTAAATGAGAAAGGAGAGAAGAAGCAATTCACATCACACACAAAGCACAGCTGAAACATGTCCAATTTATTTTTGCGGCAAACTATCGGTACGATTGGCACAGTCATTTGCCTCTGCGTAACCCAGTCAAAGGGACATGCTCGTTCCTCAAAAATGCGTGCCACATTCCATCTTCACCAGCGCACTGCAGTCCAGCGTTACTGGAACTCAATGATTATCGTTTCGCCGTTAGGGCAGCTATTTTGTTTACGTTGCGACATGCAGACAACGCCATAAATAATTACATAAACATGGAACATAGCTTAAGTGGTAAACACCCACAACAGCCCTTACGGAACGCATGATGACAACGATTCAGAAACAACGGCTTGCGCCTCAAATGATGAGAAAACATTAAACAATATATCATTTTACGACAGCCTACATAGTTCGCTACTAGCAACATCCTTATCATAACAGTATTGTGTAGATCAGTACCTAACTTTTAATTAAGTTGGAGCACATGCATTTGCACGAAAGTCAGAATCACGCATAAAAGGCGTCTACAGAGCCTTGTACGCCTTTTCCACAAATACGCAATGACATTGCACACCATTCCTCACCCTATTTTGTTTTGTTTTCAGTCATGAGTGGAATGCCAGCTTGTGGAAATTAATGTAAACTGTCACTTCAGACGTATCATTCGTAGAAATAATGTTAGGAAGAAAATGGACCCATCCCAGTAATAATTACGGCGATGCGCAAAAAAAAAATTATTGTATGGACCAGACACTTTTCTTTTGAGACTCACATAACCACATCTACCTAAAAATATACGAACGGCAGCTACAAGCTACGCTAAATCTCACTGAATCTCATTGTTTGAATGCAGACTTCAAACATATAATGCCCAGACGAAACCACGTACAGACCTGTAATGTGCGCGCAATTAATTTGCCGCACAAAGTTTCAGACAGTATATGGTATATATCTGATGATCACACTCATCAGACAGCACAGGAAGACAGACGAACAAGCGGAGATAGAACACGTCTCGGGTTTACGCTTCATCAAACGAGACTATTTTGCTAGTTTCAACCGGATTACCATCATTACGGTGGCTTGGCAGTAGGATGATGAAGAAAAATAAATAAATTTTGAGCACATTCGAACCCTTGACTTTAATGTCAAATGGATCTTTTAAAACTCATTTTAAGGAATCAAAATCGTTTAAGATAATTGTGGGGCTCCATAAAGGAAAACTATTGACTCTTTTGAGCTACGATTTTAAGTTAATTAGAAAAGTCAAACATCTCTAAAAAAAATGAAAATTGGGATATTTGTTTAAAAAAAACTATCTCTTTACGTAAATATTAAATAAGTAGTCATTTCACAAGAGCCAAGAGCTCGCCACACGCCGCCTCAACACGTCCACAGCGCACGGCTAGAAAGTTTTTAAGGGAACAGCAGCGGCACAACATGTCGCATGAGATCACAGGTTTCTGGCGATCACACACTGGGGAGAGTATTGCCACTTGCCCGGCACACAATATTCTAGACGCGCTCGAACCAGGTTCCCGGCTCTCATCCAACGACGGAAGAGTCAGGTCGACGGCGACAGCCCCGCGCATGTGGGGTCTCGCGGCGACCGTGCACACCCACACACTCCTCGCTCTCGCGTCGCCTTCACTCGGCGCACACGGCCTTCAGCTCGGTGAAGACGTCCGTGAAGAACCTCGGGTCGGAGTTGATGCGCAGCATGTCGCCGCTCAGCCGGTTGATCATGTCCACGCACCGGTCCCAGAATCGGTCCCTGTTGGACTCCACCAGGAACGGCTTCAGCGGGTACGAGATCTGTCCGACAGAGACGGTGTGCCGTCAAAATAGACATAAAATACTCCACTGGGACTGATTAAGTCAAATTGTAGTGTTGGCAACATTATTTGGTGACGTTTACTCGGCCCGAAGCCACTGAAGTCATCGTCCATTGCGGGCAGCGCTCGATAGTGTGCTATGCGGCACAGCATAATATCAGGCGTTCGATCCTGGTGACATCTAGCGGTAAGGTCTCGCACTATAGCATTTGTTACAGTACTAAAGCTTGATTATATATGGCTGCAGAGCATATTATCCTTGTTTAATGAGGAATGGAATTGCCTAACTGAATTTTACTATGATGTTTTAATAGCGTTAAAGCTTCGAAGGGCTGTACCGTTTTCCCACGTAGGTGGGAAAACCTATTGCATTCAATCTACGAACCATTTTCATCTCGACAGATTCTGAGACCTGATACAAGTACAGTGGAAAGAAACCAATATATTTTACATGTCACCAAAAATGTAACTCGAATTTCTGTTCAGACGGCAGAGGTTTCGCCTCATCGGGCAGACGCATAACGCCTTTCACACTCGACGAGTGCGAGAGAGGATGTCAACGCAATATAATGACTGATGAGGTTCCGGGATGCGGTCGTTGCCATCGCAGAAGCATTGAAGTGTGGTAGCTTCAGACTTACCATATTCTTAGCACAGAGATCGAGTGTTGCTATGTCAATAAGATCGACATGTGATCTCTAGAGGTGTCATATCACATTATTACCTGGTGTTGTTTCTCACCTCGTTCCCCATGTAGGAGTAGGAGAGGTAGAGGCTCGTCAGCACCACGGCCTGCAGCTCGTGCTCTGACGTCACGTCCGCGGTGACCACCTCGCGGACCAGAAGGTAGACGAACACCACGTTGGCCGGGTTGACAAACGAAATATCCTGCCAAACAAACACAGTGTTAGCTATGAGGTAATGGGGATCGGGCCATGAATCTTAGTATTCATATCTGTGGTGCCACTTGTCACCTATTGCATTAGAAAATTATGTTTTTAGGTTTAGAGTGTCATTTGGAGCTGCATAAAGATATCACAGCAAGGTGCGCTGTGACGCTGACGGAGAGCTCGCAGGTTGATGAGGGTTGAAAACAAGGACCCATACAGAGTGGTCTGTGGGACAATGTCAGTAATGGGTCGATATGGGCAGCTAAAAACGACGCACTTTGCACCGTGCGATACACAAGCACACGTCACTAACACGTCACGTCACTATCGACCTGTTTACCTGCTATTGATGTGTGCCTCCGCCTGTGCCAGCTCTGGCGCAGCAGGCTGCCATGCGCATTATCGACCTATATAAGCATTTGTGGTATTGCTGGCCTATGCACGCATCTGCTGTGTCTGCGTCAACCTGTCATTCCGCTAACAGTAAAGGAGGAATCGAAGAGCGCATTACGATATAATTTGCTTCACATGTGCCGGGGTGTTCCTGTTAGCCCTGCAACAAATACTGCAGCAGTCCATGTAAATACTCGACTTTTATTTGCCTCTATAACTGCCAGCTCAAGCAGAGTATGGTTCACGCCATATCGTCTGTACCCGTGCCTGTCACGTAGGCGCCTACCTGCCAGCCCTGGAGCAGCAGCGAGCGGTCGACGGTGCGCAGCCACATGATGGCATCCCCGGCCTGGAAGTCGCTGAGCTGGGTGCAGCGCCGCTGCAGGAACATGCCCAGGCAGCGGAGCAGCTCTGAGGTGGACGCCTGGATGACGGTGCGCCGGCCCGGACTGACGGCCGCCGCCGCCTGCGTCAGCACGGCGCGGGGCAGCCGCTCGGGCCGGGTCGCAGCGGCCGTGCCGCCCAGGCGGACCACGTCCAGCCCTCCCACCGGCGGGGGAGGCCGCACTGCATAGCACGCGGCCGACGACGACTTCTGGATGTTACGGTTGTTGTCGACCAGGGGATGGATGGCGTCCAGCGGCTGTCGGAGCGTCAGCATGCTCTTAGTACGGTTCTGGCTAACATCGAGCTTCTTCTTGTTGGAGGAGGAGAAGCGCTTCCAGCTGAGGGCCTGGATGAAGTTGGAGTGTTTCTTCAGACCCTTGTCGGCTGGCGGCGGCTCCAGGAGCACGCCTGAGTTCTCGTTTGGCACCAGCCTGCTGCGTCGCGGCAGGTGGTACATGGTGTCGTAGGTAGGCGGGCACGGCGGCGGCGGCCGCCGCTCGTGGGGGCTGAACGACAGCACGGTGCCCATGCCGGCGGCGCTGCCGGTGGATACGTTGTCGGAGGAGGGGCGCCTCGCGCCGCCCGATCCTCTCACGCACGCACACGCCAGCTCACACCTCTGGGCCGCATCGAGGGCACAGCGCGAAAATGGCCGCCCCGGACTCGCTCCCCGCCTTCGCCGGTCATCGATTACCGCAGCCGCGCCGACGCGACGGCCGGTTGCCATGACAACGTGGCCCGACCGCCCCAGGCGCGACGGCATCGATTTTGCAACCAGCCTGAAGTCGGGGGTCGGGTCGGGGGAGAGACCAGCGATCGACTCGAGATGGTCATCCGCCTCTGACGGAGGGCCCACGGGAGAGAGAGGGGCGGTGCTGCGCAGAAACCGGCTGTCTCCGGGTCTGCTGTCCGTCTAAAGGTCATTGTATCACAGGCGGAGAGCAGTAATTGCATGGAGCTTGTTAAAGTGACGCTTTTCCTGTAGTAATAGCTGCTTTCCATCTCAGCACAAGCATTTACTTACTTTCTAAACATAAATCACTTTTCAGCCAGAGATCAATAGTTCCAGCTACAAAAAAAAAGTTATTTAAGTAGCTTTTCTGTGCGATACTCGTATTGCTTGTGTGACTACGAAAACTGAAAGGCGTCCCGGATCTGGAATTATATTGCTCAATATTGGGTTTCAATTTAGACGCGCTCTGGGGGCGAGAGAATCCGTCTCGTCTTTCTTTGCCTTTGAGGTAACTCATCACTGCGCTCATCGTCTCTATTTCGGTCATAATGCATGTTGCACAATTCCATCGTAACCGTTGTAAAGGGATCTTTTGACCCCAACATTACGGATCAGTTATAATGGAGAAATGAAATACGATACAGCATCCGGGCATCGTATCCCAGTCCCTGCCAAGCGCAACGCGTTATCTGTACGACTGCACAATGCACATCATGACCAACAGATCATTGACACCACTCCGCACTCACTAGTCACCAGAATACTCCATTCGGAGATCGCTTAGCTGTCCTGAACAGAATATTATATAATAAAACGCACTGAGCAAACGAAGTCGCAGCTGAAGCTAGATCCAAAGTCCGTATGTAATGTGCAGACACGTGCACATGTCAATGTGTTATGAATATGTCAAAATGTCACGTGCTGGTTTTCAGTCGAAGCAACGTTCACACCGATTTTTTACGATCGTGTTTTTGACAGTATTATTGTCAGCGGCGAGGTCCTTGCCATCTAATCCAATAGCATTTCAGAGCCATAAGATGATGCAATAAAGAGACACAATCTTTTGATTCGACCACCGAGTGGTGCGGCGCAGCGGCTGAGCCCGTCACGTTGGGAATCACGTGCCCCGGCTGAAGGCATTGCGCCCAGCCGCTCAGACGGTTACCCCGGAAGTGTAAGTTCCTTCTGGAGAGTGGAGCTGACCGGTGCTCACTATATCGATCGCCTGGTGTGGGATGACCGTCGTCCCCGACCATAAATGTGACCATGGATAGTAATAGGCAGGTCCTGGATAGAGAGCACAGATGAGGAATTAAGAGCTGTTTTCACGACAGGTTATCTGGCAAATGCATCTAATTTGACCAAATCTGCATCAAATCTTTTATAATAAATATATTCGTATCATGAATTTATTTCAGGGCTTTAATCGAAATTACTGTCTGATAATGTGAAAAATGAGGCATATAAGCAACTGTGCAGTCCAGACTGCAAGCCTTTAAGAAATACTCACTGAACCTAATTTGTTCAAATATGCACCAAATCGGCACCCAATCTGCACGAAATGTGTACCAGATGGCTGTCGTGAAAACAGCTAATATTAACTTAACAGGTACGGTCTATTCTCACAGATAGATTTTGCGAGAATCATTAATTGAAGGGGAAGCACAACTGACAACACATCATGAAGGGACGATCTTCATGTTGATCTGCTTAGTTCTTACCATTATTAGGACAATGTCTATGGCCATTTTCACTCATCCCTGGACCCTGACCAAAAGTCTTTTGACCCGGACCGTGAATACGTTTTTTTATTAGCTCGTGCTTTTGGTAACCATGAAGTGGTAGTTATAATTGCATGGTGCTGCAGTTTGCACTTTCTACATATCTACATCCACAGGTGAGCGGCCAGACCTATACCTGTTCTCGCCGGCCAGACACCAGCTAGCAGCAGGCGCCGGCTAAAGGTCATCATCATCATCATCATCATCATCATCATCATCATCATCATCATCATCATCATCACTCCTTTTATTCTCCTATCGTCCATCTCTATACCTCTACATCCACAGTCGACCGACCAGAGCTAGTCGTTTTCGTCGGCCAGACACCAGCTGGCAGCAGGGGCCGGCTAAAGGTGGCTCTGCTCGCAGCCGGGGAGGCAGGCAGTGCCGACAGCCGACAGCCCAGGGACCGAGAGAGTGCCTGCAGAGTGCGCACTAGTGTTAGGCCGGGCAGCCGGGGGGCTCTAGAGCGCTCCAACGGCTGGCATGGTGAGAAATAAGATAGTCCATACATGCGCCATGTGCTACATCAGCTTAATAAATGGTGATGAGCCATGGGCGTAGGAACGTCATGAAAAGTGGGTGGGCCACCCTGTCAAGGGGCCTCCTTTTCCAGGGGGCCTCCTATTTTCAGGGGCCTCCAACTTTTGCCTCATCCTGCGACCTGCTGGCTGCTTTCAAGTATGACCTCCAAATCTAGCTTCTGAGATCGGGCAGATGTACCCAGGGGCGTAACCGCTAAAGCGAACAGTGCGGAAAGTCCGCACCATTTTTAAAACTTCTTCCCCTCCGATTTTTTTTTTTAGAATCTATTTGCCGCAAACGGCGCATGACCCCTGAAAACCCTTACACAAATGTCTGTCTTCCTCGTTTCCCAGGTGCCCCCATTAGCTTCATAGGCGCCCTCTTTGGCATATAAGCGCCCTAATGTGCCTATAGTCATCCGAGACATCCCTATATGTCCCACAGTCGCCCCGTTGTTGCATACAATGTGCGCTTATCATAGGCGTCTCTCTCTTATGGACACTTGAAGGCCATGCTCTTTTGTCATGCCGGCGCCCCTGTTTCTTATGAATGCACCCCCATGGCATTGATCAATTGCGATTTGCAGACCTCTATTGCATGTGGACGCCCATATATGTAGGCCTCAGAGGCGCCCCTCTTTCGCATTGAGGCGCCCCTATAATGGGCTTCATAGGCGCCCCTCTATTGCACGTAGGTGCCCTACTGTCTCAGAATCGCTCCCCTTTGGCATGCAGACGCCCATCTTTCGTACGGAGGAGCCGCTGTGGTTCTAGAGACGGCATGGTGCTCCCAGACGCAGAGGGGGCTCTCGGAGTCGACAGTGTGGGACCTTCAGTCGCTGATGGGTGCCCGCCAGCGAGTTACCCAAGTGTGGAACTATAGGCGACGTGCCGAGCGAATGACGTCACACCACGGCCAGTGCCGGCGCGGCGGCAGACTTGCCGAGATTGGCATGGTCTTAACTTGGCGGAGAAGCATCGGACGCCATACTTCTGCTGCAGCTAGTTCATTGCATTTAATTTTAGCGCATTGCTTTTCTTTCGTGTGTATCAGCTATCAAGTCCTTCAAATACCTAATATGTAGGACAGGTGCGTGTACCTAAATTTAGTGTATGCTATGCTAGTGGATTGAGAATTGGGGGGGGGGCATATCTGACACACTTCTCAATGGATTCTGCCATTGTTTGGTTGCTTATGGCTTTGTGTCTTCGCGCAAACCATTAAAAGGGAGGACGTCATTTGTAAAGGTTGTTAGGTGCACTCAAACGTTTAAGGATAAGCAACTGCTCATCGAATTTCTGGCGAGTGGTGGTGGAACGTTCTGTTCACAAATGAGTAGGTCCTTACCTAGTACCTACCTACCCAATGGCAAATAGCTGGGTCGCGGTCAATACGCATTATTCACGAAGTCCCTAATCTTTAATTAGACTTAAGCCCTTAAAAATTGCAACATTTTCGTCTTTTTCGCGTTGCATCGGTAAGCAAATGAGAAAATCTGCATCTGCTTGACAGCCCTCTATTCAACAAACCTTTTCCACATCGCATCATTCCCGAACATAATTTTCAAACATGGGTATCCTCCCCACAACAAAACTGAAGCAGTTTCCTTCGGCTCTAATGCGCCGCTCGCCCAGGGAGACGGGAATGTTATACTCTCGGCGGCCCAGTCTGCACTCTGCAGCACACTCAAACTTGGCGGACCCCCAGCGCATGACTGCACGATTCGTATTGTTGTGATGACAGCAAATGAATTGACTGGTGTTTCGGAATCAACAGGCGGCGCAGCCCAGTGCCTCTTAAAATGAATTAGTGGCGAATGCATTATGCAGAGAAGAAATAGATTGAGCAGATGACCAACCACACTGAATTAACAACTTAACATTACGCTTTACATTTTCATTCGTGCATTCATGGAAACAAATGACTTGCGACCCTTCCGCCTTACATAACTCGCCACTCGGCAGAATACCCCTGGTTCGGCTAAACTACGCTGCATTTCTTCCAAGCCTACCTAATCATTTTACAATTAATTACTCAGCTATGCACAAGCACAGGCATATAATTCACTGCTGAACTCCTTTCTCCCTATCATCTTTTTGGCACCGTCAATCGCCATCTGCGCTTTCCACTGTCCAGCGAATAATCCGGCCTTTTCCAGTTCTCCGGCAGAGGCTTCCAAACTCAGGCGAACTCGCCTAAATTTCGCGATTCAATGCACAGGATCTGTACAATTAAGTTTGAGAGCCTCTGAATTGGCTCGGCGCGTCTGCGCAGCGCCGTTGGTCCAACCGAGTACGTGAGTGACGTCATGCTATAAGCGTCAGCCCCCGACCAAAGTCACCAATCAGAGCCCGAGAATCGACGGGTGAGTGAATATAGTTCCACGCTTAGGAAACTCGCTGCCCGCCAGATGTGGACCCTCGGAGACGCCGGTATGGGGCCCTCAGAGATGCCAGTATGTGGCCCTTAGAGACACCGGTGTGGAACCCTCAGATACTTCAGTGTGAAGCCCTTACAATTGCCGGTGTGGAGCTATGAATGCGCTGGCTTAAATCCCTCAGAGGCCGGTACATGGACATAAGAGCTCAGTGAGAGTTTGCGTGGTGCCTTCAGTGGCCTTGTGGAGCCGTTAGACATCAACATGGTGCTCTCAGGAGCCGGTGAGTCCTCAGAGTCACCGGTGTGGGGCCTTCAGAGCTCCAAGATACTGGTGTGGGGCCCTCAGAGGTGTCGGTGTGGGTCCTTCAGATGTACATATAGAGCCTTGAGATGCACAGG